TGTCAGCCTTGCCTTGCCTTGCCATCTGGGAGAGGAGAATTAAGGGAGAAGGAAAAGCAAGTGCAAAGGCCCTGAGGTGGGAGCTTGCTTGGTGTGTGTGAGGAACAGCAAGAAGGTCAGTGTGGCGGGAGCAGAATGAGTGAGGGGGCCAGTGGCAGGAGGTGAGGTCAGAGAGGTGACGGGGGCCTGGTCCTGGAGGGCCTCGCTGGCCATGGGAGGACTTGGGCTTTTTCTCTGAGAGAGATGGAGCCATGGCAGGAGTCTGGACAGAGGCGGGCCGTGAGCTGACTAGGATTATAACAGAACCCTCTGGCTGCTGTGAGGACAGGTGGGGAGGGGCAAGGGCAGAAGCAGTGAGGAGGGCACTTCGGTAGTCCAGGCCTGTGCTGGGGGTGGCGGCAGCGGACGTGGAGAGGAGAGGTCAGATTCTAGATAAATTCTGAAGGTGGAACTGACAGGATTTGCTGGCAGATCAAACGAGGGGAGTGGGATGAGAGAAAGTACTTGTTAAGAATCTGCACTGGAGGAGCAGTAATTTGGCAGTTGGCGTTAAATAGTATAGTGGTTAAGAGCAAGGATTCCGGAGCCAGGTGGCCTGGATGTAAATCCAACTCCCTTCGCTTACCCACTGTGTGACCTTGGACAGGTCACTTCATCTCTTTGCCTCCATTTCCCCATCTGTGACATGGGGTAATAATAGTACTGACTTCTTGGGTTGTTGTGAGGATTGGAGAAGGTTTCCTATGTCTGTCAAGTGCTTAGAACAGTGCCTGGCGCGACGCGCTTGTAATATTACTGTAGGATGAGTAGAAGTGTTCGCGAGTGAGTGCACAGGAGAGAGCGTTCCAGATCCCAGGAACAGTTTGTGTAGTTTTCAAAAGATGTGCAAGAAAGTCAGTGTGGCTGGAACATAACCTGATTGAGGAAGAGCACCGAGGGACAAAGTTGGAGAGGAGGCCTGAGAGATCAGCTTCTCGCAGCAGCTGTGAGCCGTTGGGGGTTTCTGGGTGGATCTACCAGTGCAGGAGGATGGAAGAGAGACAGGAGGGGAAATTGATTTGGGACTTGATGCCGGGGACGTACAGAGAGAGGAGAGAGATGAGGCACTGTTGGCAACACTGATGGCTGGTTACCTGGGGTTGGAGGTGTCTGGTGTCCAGGATAAGAAACTTAGTCCAGTTCTACATCCCACCGGGGTCCCAATGCTAGTTGTGATATTTCTGTGGCCATGGGCAGTAAACCCCTCCAGGATTCACTTTCTTCATCTTCAAAGTGGGGCTAAATGTTGCACCTACCTCATTAGAGTTGTTGTGACAGTCACATAAGAGGGATGTAGTAAGAGCTGGGTAAGTGCAGGCTGTCACCAAAACCAGGTGGAGATTATCCCGGGCAAGCAAGGGTGGCTTAATATTTGGGAAGCAATGAGATGTAGTTCAGTGTATTAGTAGAAAAAATGGGAAGAATCAAGGGCTGTGCCCATTTAGCTATATCGCCAGGGACTGAGGGACCAAACCCAGGGTCCACTCTTTCTCAGGCCCACAGTCTGACCTCGAATCCCTCACTGGGTAAATAGAATTGAGATCTTAAGAGCAGAGCGACCCCAGTTGCAGCCCCGTGAAATGGTTTCTCCCCCTCTCTGAGTTGGTCACTGACTGGCCTCACTGGCCTTATTTGCACATTCAGCGTCCAGAGCTTTGTGTATCTGGCTCCTTTTCATTCGGTTCCAGCTTAAATTTATTTCTCATCCCTCTCTTCTTCCCCCACCGTTTGGCAGCACTAACGGAATTACTATTTTAATGATAGTAAGTACCAATTTCTTAAATGATCTCCTTCTTTATCGTTCATTTTTCCAGTTGGAATGGCAGCTCCATGAGAGCAGGGACCATTTGTCTGAGTTACTGCTATTTCCCCAGTGCCTGACCTAGTATGGGCTTGATAAATATGGGTTGGAAGGCTGGCTCGCTATATCAGCTTGCTGGGGGCTGCTCAAGTGGTCTGTGAGGCTTTTCGCAACTGCAGGAATCTTGTTTCTGACTCAAGCCATAGGGAGTTATCACCATCAAGACCTTGGGGATTGTGAGAACTTTGGCTTCAGAGGCAAATGTTTTCCCATCAGGAAATGGTAAAATTTAAGTTATGACTTATTGTCCAATCCCCCCTTGTCGCATTTAGGAAGAAACTGCAGAGATGAGATAAGGGAATAAGGACTCAGTGTCTGTGCTCCAGTGACGCCTCAGCTCTATGTCTCCTCCCATTTTGCTCTCTGGCCTTGATTCTCAGCATACCTTTGTCACCCCACGCCACCCAGGCTTTCCCTCAAATCATGCTCCTTTTTGTTCCCTAGGGTGGGGCCCAACTTCAGGTTTCGTTTCAGCCTGTGTTAGTAATAAAAAGTGGACACAGCCAGTGTGGTCCAGTGCTCGTCTTTCCGTTTCTCAACTCTGGAGGCCAAATAGGCAGGAGGTGCATGAAGGAAGGAGGAGTCTGGAAAAAACATGGCCCTTGCCTGTTTCTGCCGCCACTTGAGTCACTATTGTGATGTGGCGTTATTTTCAAACAACTCTGGCTTTTCTGTCCAAATCTGTGTGTTTGTTCATTTGGCTAGGACCCTCAACCGTCACTTGGACAGTAAAATAGCCCCAGATCCTGTTAGAGTGAATGAGACTTGTGGTCCCCCATGCGCTTGAGCTTCCTTTCTAGATGTCATGATTATAACAAAGGTCACTCACAACCTCCAGGAACTGCTTCTGATGTCTTGATAACCTCAGGCCTGAGACCCTCCTTTCCCCACCCACTGACCTGCCATTCATGCAGATAAACTGCCCCTTTCTCTCCAAGCTCCCAACAAAGTGCAAGTGCCTTCTGTCATCAGCTTGTTGTTCAAAACCCATTTTTAATCCAATGAGTGTGTAAATATTTAAAAACAAAAATTGAAAAAATGCAGAGCACATAAATGCAAGGGGTGGCTGTGGTCATTCTAATTCTCATTATTTCCACACCAGATCTACCTCTGGCAGGGAAAAGTTTTTTAAACAACTAACAGTAGTCAACGTTTAATGAGTCTTTTCTCTATTCCAGATGCTAGTCTAAACTTTACAAGTATTAACTCATTTAGTCTTCACAATAACTCTATGAGGCAGTTTTTTTCAGATGAGTTGACAGAGTCACAAAGGGGTCAAGTGACTTGCCCAAGGCCACATAGCTCCTAGTTGGCAGAGGCTGTGGCTATGGCCAAGTTATACTGCCTTCTGAAAAGTACTGTACTACCTCTCACAATAATAGCAAAGGTCACGCAACAGGTGTTGTTATGAACACTTTCTATGCATTAATAACTAATTCATACTTACAACAACCCTGTCATTAGGTGGTTTTATCTAGTATCCTATAGTCTTATAGGAATGAAGTTTTAAAAATAATTTTTGAGATTTTAACATATGAGTATTGTGAAAACAACAACAAAAGAATCAATTCTGGCAGTGAAACAGTAAATCTCCCTGGCATCCCCAACTCGCCTGTAATTTCTTCCCACCATGTTTCTTTGGTAGCTGAGCAGTGGGATGAAGGGGTGGGACTCTGTCCAGGGAGGGTCAAGATGAATGGGAAAGGCATTGATCATAGCATCCTTTATGGCAAAAAATGAACTTGGAAATAAACCCAGTGCTGGTCACAAATAGGGGACCAATTCAATAAAATGTCACCCTGGAACTCCCTGAGCTTCAGATTTCCTCATCTGTAAAATGAGGATAGTAATGGGACCCACAACATTCAATTATTAGGATTAAATGGATTAATACATGTAAATCACCTTGAACAGTATCCAGCACATTGTCCAATAAATGTTAGTGATTACATGTTTGTGCAGTGAAATAGTTTATTCTTTAACAATCATGAAATAGAAGGATATTTAATATCCTGAAAAGACACCGATAGCTTAGTTACATGGACAAGGGAGATGCTAAGTCAATACAGTACAGTGTGGTCTATTTTTGTTAGAACACAAAAAAGGGCAATATGTTTTTGGATGTGTCTCCTTGTTTCAGGTGGCTTTAAAACGTTCAGATTATTGTATTTGTTATAAAAATAGTGTGAAAAATAACAGTTTTGAGAATTGTTAGTTGATGTTAAGATCCAAAGGAAGCTACTAAACCCTTTATTTCAACTTTGTAAATTGTGTATCCTGATCAAGTTAAGATGAATAGTTAGAGGTGCAGCCTCCTGTTGGAGTTGAAATAAGGATGATTCGGATAGCCTCCTAGGATCCAAATCGCAAAGCTTGTTGTGTCTAATTGTGTCTGCCTTTAGAGACTCACGCCCAAACAAAGCTTCCTGGGAGCATCCAAGCCCAACACCCCCTCCCCCCAACACACACACATACACACATACACACAGAACGGACTCTTCTCATCCTGGGGTAGTGGGGGTCCAGAGGCCCATCAGTCACTCTAAGAACTGGAGAACTTTTAGAGGCCTCTGCATGTGTGATTATTTTTTATTCTGTGCTTCACATCTTGCTTGGCCAAGATCGTGCTGTTAAAAAGCAGTTTATACCACTCTTTCTAAAGAAAGTCTTTTTTTTTTTTTTTTTGAAAGTCGTGTTTTTGATTTCTAGTGAGTGATTCACATACTCGCCCCTGTCCCTGTGGCTCTTTCTTGTGTATACAAAAAGTGCCATTAGGGATTGGGGTGGATAGAACCTCAGGGGCGGAGCCTCCAACCCTGTGCCGGAAGCTCTTGTCCCTTAGTGCGCCTGCGTGGTTCTTCCACGCCCTAGGGAGGATTCCTATCGATTCCTCTGTGCTCGGCAGCGCTTCCTGGCCGCAGGCGGCCATCTTGCCTAGAGCCTGAGAGAGGGAGAAGAGAGACAGAAGGAGAGGGCGACACTGGTCTCAGGGCCGCCCCGGGGGCCTCAAGAGCGGGAGGCAGCCCCGGAGGTGGTCCCTGATCCGGGGCCCTGCTCTTGGACCCGAGAAGGGAAGGCGGGGGGCGGGGGGAGGCCAGATGGGTGGGGAATGCCAAGAAGGATTGCTAGTCGGGGGGAGGTGCGTTGCTATGGCGACCGGGGAGGGCGGGGTCAGGTCTGAATCGCTGCTGTGAGTCATCCTGGGCGCTGCTGGGAAGGGCAGGGCAGGGCAGGGATGATTGACCATGCTAACAGCCGGGTGGGATTTCGCGACATCCCGGTGTGAAGGGACTCGGTGCCTATGGAAACGATCGCCTGGCAGAAGGGGCGGAACTAGATCCCTCCACTTGAGACGCTGACATTCCAGGCCCTTGTCCTGCAGGCTCCCGCGGGCGGACACGCCGGAAGAGGAGGCCGGGGAATGGCCGCGGTGTGGCAGCAGGTCTTAGCAGTGGACGCGAGGTGAGGCGTGGGGTCGGAGCCCATGGGAGCGGAAGTTACTGTGGTGCATGCGCAATGGCGATAAGTGAGGCTGGGCGGAGAACTTGCCTTATGCGGCTGCATTGGCATGCCGAAGGTGAGCATGCGCAGTAGCATGGTGTGGGGGCTTGCCCGCTGTGAGAAGGGCTGGCCAGAGGGTCGTAAAGAGCATGCTGGGAAAATGCAGTCACATTTGGGCATGCGCAAAGAGGCTGTGTTACTAGAGCCTTTGGGAGTGGGTGATGGAGCTCTGGCTAGTGACATCCTATTCCCCACCATTGCCCTGCCAGACTTCTATTACCATCATCACTTTTCCAGTCTGACCCCATTACCATCCCATTCTGACCCCTGCCATTGTCCCACACTAACCCCCATCACCATATCAGACTGACCCCTATTATTGTCTACACTGACTCAGTCGCTCCATACTAACTCCAGCAAAGCTGCAGGCTGCCTCCACTGGCTTCACACTGACCTAATTGCCATGCCCATTATTATTGTAGACTCACCCTCATCACAGCACCAGAGGTACCACCATCACCATGGCTGATTACTTGCCATCCTGACCCCTCACTGCCACACATCTCATTCTCCTTCCCTATCCCTTGAGCTGATTGATTCCCTCTGTCCTGTGCCTGCTGCCCGCCCTGCTTCCTGCCATCGCAGGTACAACGCGTACCGCACACCAACGTTTCCACAGTTTCGGACACAGTATATCCGGCGGCGCAGCCAGCTACTACGGGAGAATGCCAAGGCTGGGCACCCCCCAGCGTTCCGTCGGCAGTACCTGAGGCTGCGTGGGCAGCTGTTGGGCCAGCGCTACGGGCCCCTCTCCGAGCCAGGCAGTGCTCGTGCCTATAGCAACAGCATCATCCGCAGCAGCCGCACTACCCTCGACCGCATGGAGGTGAGCTCCTCCCCAGGCCACCTACGGTGCATACCACCCGCCTCTGTATATATTCACTTGATAGACTTGTCAAGCACCTGCTATCAAGGTGCTGTTCCAGGCTCTTAGGATGAGTAGAGAGCAAAAAGAGATCATAAATGAGATAAGTCAATAAAGAGACGATGAACAAGATAAACAAGTCAATAAACATAGCAAACCAGATAAACAAGTCAGTAATGACCATGGCTTGTAGTGAGAAGTGCTAAGATGGAAAAATAAAGGAGACTTGGGGGATAAAACAGGACTGGTGTGAGGGACAGAGGGAAGCTAGTTTTCATGGGGATAATCAGAGAAGGCCTCTCGGAGGAGGTGGCAATTGAGCTGCGACTTGAATGAAGCAAAAGACTGAGGCAAGTGGTTTTCTGGAGAAAGAATGTTCATTCTTCATTCAAAGGACATTTACTGAGTATCTGCTGAGTAGGGCAAGAGTGAAAGCAGGGGAACTAGTGCGGAGGCCACCACAGTAGTCCTGGCGATGGCAGTGGCAGAGGACAGGGTGAGAAGTGATCTGGATATATTTTGAAGACTCCAGACCTCATAGGTTTTTGAGGGCTGTTTTTAAGATGTGCCCAGCCTGACCCTCTCTGTTTGCAGGACTTTGAGGATGATCCTCGGGCCCTGGGGGCCCGTGGGCACCGCCGTTCCGTCAGCCGAGGCTCCTACCAGCTGCAGGCACAGATGAACCGTGCTGTCTTTGAGGACAGGTATGCACCAGGGGCAGCTGAGGGCTGGGGGTTTGTGAGGAGGGGAAGGGCTACAAGTCAATGGCAGTCTGAACACTAGCACCTACCTCCTGTTACCCTTACTCCTACTGGGGCCCAGGCCCCCCGGCAGCGTGGTGCCCACGTCAGCGGCAGAAGCCAGTCGAGCTATGGCCGGGGACACGTCACTGAGTGAGAACTACGCCTTTGCGGGCATGTACCACGTTTTTGACCAACACGTGGATGAGGCAGGTGAGCCAGTAGATGGCGGGTCCCATCACCACAAATTTGCCCAAACTGTGACAACCACCCAGTGCATCCTTTTCTGGAGTGCCAAGTGTCTTGCCCACCTTTGAAGGGGGGCTATCCATAAACGTTTTGCAAACCTAAAAGCTCTCTACAAAGTGGTCTGCAAAACCTGGGGTACTTTGTCTACTGTAAAGGAGCTCAGGAGCTTAAAAGAGCACTTTGCAGAAGGCGTCTGGGTTGTGACTCACTTGGAAGAGTTCAGAGCCTTTGCTGCAGAGAAATCCCCTCGCAAAGGGCAGGGTGGGTTTTGCAAACTGCCAAGACTTTGGTGATTGTAAGGTGCTTGCTGTGATGTAGGAGCTTTTTCATGTTGCAACCCATAAAGTACCTGCTACGATTTAGGGAGCTTTTGGCAGAGGGCCTTCTGGGGTTCCAACTCCCAAGGGAAGCCCTTTGCTGAGGCCAGTGTGCCTGGTGCGGTGGGTCCTGGCCCCCAGCCCACACGTCAGAGCCTTATAAACGGAAGTACCCACTGAGTCTGCTGACTCCCACAAATGCCTGCTTGGCATTGCAGTCCCAAGAGTGCGCTTCGCCAATGATGACCGGCACCGCCTGGCCTGCTGCTCACTCGATGGCAGCATCTCACTGTGCCAGCTGGTGCCCGCCCCGCCCACCGTGCTCCGAGTGCTGCGGGGCCACACCCGCGGTGTCTCCGACTTCGCCTGGTCTCTCTCCAATGACATCCTCGTGTCCACCTCACTTGATGCTACCATGCGCATCTGGGCCTCTGAGGACGGCCGCTGCATCCGGGAGATCCCTGACCCTGATGGCGCCGAACTGCTCTGCTGCACTTTCCAGCCCGTCAACAACAACCTCACTGTGGTCAGGCTCCAGGGCGCCCGCTTGCCAAGGGCAGGGATGCCGGGCCGGGAGGGCTGTCCCAGGGAATCAATGTCAAGGGGTCCTCTCTAGGCCGTTGGCACAGTTCCTTCTCTGGTCAGAGTCGGAAGGAAACGGGTCAGAACGGGGGGGCATGCGGTTCTCCGTCTGGGATGGCCTCATTGGGGTAGACTCTGGGGGGAATGGCCAGGGGGTAGGGTCACGGATCTGGCACCCCTTCGTTCCCATCAGCAGGAGTCCTACCGTTTTCCAACTGCAGGGACTGCTGATTGGGGAGCAGGATTACTAGTCGGAAACCTCGTCTCGTCTCAGTGGCAGCCCCACTGTGGTCCGACCCCAGGAGAGTCAGAAGGCGGGGGAAGGAAATGAAGTCTGGCCTGGCCCTGAGGGGGCGGGGGGAGCTGGCCGGGTGGGCTTGTGCTCCGGGATCCTTTCAGTTGCAGCGGCGGCAGCCGCCCCAGTGTAGTCAGGGGTCCAGAAAGGACCAGTCAGGGAGCAGATGAGCTCTTATCATGGGCCTGGGACAGCCCTGTGGTTTGCCAACCACAGGAGGTGCTGGCGAAGGGGCAGCGTTATGGGTCTGAGATCCCTTTAGTTCCAGGAGCAGCTCTTTACTCTGGTCAGATCGCAAGAGGGGCTGGCTTAGGAAGATTATAGCCCTGGGTCACCTTCTAGTCTACCCACCACAGCACCACTGTGATAAGACTCCAGTAAGACCAACCAGTCCCATCAACAGCAGCCCCACTGTGGTCAGACTCAAGGAGGGACTAGCTGCGAGCAGGATGATGGTGTGCGGGTCTCACCCACAGGTGGGGAATGCCAAGCACAATGTGCATGTCATGAACATCTCCACGGGCAAGAAAGTGAAGGGTGGCTCCAGCAAGCTGACGGGCCGTGTCCTCGCTCTGTCCTTTGATGCCCCTGGCCGGCTGCTCTGGGCGGGCGATGACCGCGGCAGTGTTTTCTCCTTCCTCTTTGACATGGCCACAGGTAGGCAGGCCCAGGCCTGTGTCTAGGTGCTTGCTTGCATTCCCGCCCCCCTGGTGCGCAGCTCTTACCCTTACCTTTGTCTCCCCTTCCTGTGTTGCTCCAGGGAAGCTGACCAAAGCCAAGCGGCTGGTAGTACACGAGGGTAGCCCTGTGACCAGCATCTCTGCCCGCTCCTGGGTCAGCCGCGAGGCCCGGGACCCCTCACTGCTCATCAATGCTTGTCTCAACAAGCTGCTGCTCTACAGGTGGGTCCCCCCGTCCAGACCACCTGGAAATGGAGAGCCTGCTGCCTCCATCGGACTGGGACAGGGCCTGTCTCCCCATCAGCCTAGAACCATGTAGGGCCTGACCAAGGAGGTCTGGTCTCCTTCTGGTAATGACGACATCAAGAGTAGCAGTACTAGAACTAGCAGTAGTGAGTACTGCCATAGCAACTGCTGGGGCCAGGCCCTGTTCATAGCACCTTATACATACTGCCTTATTTAGTCCTCACAACCCTGTGAGGTGAGTGCTGTCATGTCCACTTTACAGATGAGCAAACTGAGGCATAAAATAGACTAGGGCCCTCTTAGAGCAGTGACCTGTTTTTCTTCATTCCTTTTTTTGTGTGGGAGGGTGTTTACTATCCCCACTTACATATGTCATATTACCCAAATGCAGTCCTCAGCTTGGGCCACATACTGGAAAGACCTGAAGAGCTTCAAAAAATCACGGCCAGGCCCTGCTCCAGGCGAGTGGTTTCAGAAGCTCTGGGGTGGGACTGAGTATATTGAAAATTCCCCGAGGGATGTCCAGCCAGGCCTGAAAACCACTGCCTGACAGGATGCTTGCTGTTTTACTGTTTTATTTTTCTTCTCCTTTTAAAAAAATAATACACTCACACACACACACACATATATATGTATGTGCTTGTAGTTTAATTTAAGTATACTCCTAGGTTTTTAGTCTGTTTCCCCCATCCTCTCCCTTCTCTCCTCCCTCCTGCCACCTTGGCCCTCCCCCTGCCTCAGTAAAGCGTGCTAACAACTTTGTACGTATCTTTCCATGTTTTGTTCTCTCACTTACAACCCTAGGCGTGCACACAGGCCACACATTTTTGAGGGAGGGTAATTGTTTTACAGAAGTGGGCTTCTTGTACATCCTTCTCCACAGCTTCTTTTCTCACCAGACGATGCCTGTGGAAGTGCCCCAGGTCACCTGCGGTAGCTTCGGTTCATGCTTTTGCATGGTATTCCACAGTTCAGGAGTGCCGTAGTTTGGTTAGCCATTTCCTCTCTTTGTGCCCGTCCTGACACCAGAGTCTCTTAGAGACCCTTAGAAAGAGAACTAGTGAATTCAACTGTGGAGGCTCCCCATTTATATCAACAGAGACAGTTTCCAGCTGTCACTGATTCACACGCCAGCCGTGCCTTATCGGTTTATGCAGACTTCTCAAGACTGGATTTCATGAACCTTGAAAAGAGCTCAGGTCCAGGGATGGGGACACAGACTGGCCCACCGTTCATCCCCCCTCTGGGGCTGAGGCTGCACCCTGACCCGCTGTCATCCTCCCCTCAGGGTGGTGGACAATGAGGGGACCCTGCAGCTGAAGAGAAGCTTCCCCATTGAGCAGAGCTCACATCCCGTGCGCAGCATCTTCTGCCCCCTCATGTCCTTCCGCCAGGGGGCCTGTGTGGGTGAGTCCCATAGGGTTGGGGTGTGTGGGCAGCCGGGGAGGGGCAGGGCCCAGGGCTGGTGCTGATCTGGCTCAGACCTCACAAGACCCTGATGCCCTGACTTCCTGGGCCTCAGGAGCTCTCATGCCCCAACAACCTCACACTTGCAACAAAGACCCCCAAACAGCCCAGAAACCTCACAGCTTGAGATACAGACCCCTCCGCAAATAGCTCAGAGACCTCACACTCTGGACACAGAACCGAAATAGCTAGGGGACTGCCGTCTAGGGCTGGGCCCCCCCAACTCCCCCAGCCATGGAACCTCACACCTTGGACATAAATCCCTCCGCACCTGAGACACCTCCAAGACTTCGCACCCGGGGCACCCCAGTGCCTCCTGTGACAACAACTGATAGCCTGTCTCTCTCGTCTGGGCAGTGACGGGCAGCGAGGACATGTGCGTGCACTTCTTTGATGTGGAGCGGGCAGCCAAGGCCGCCGTCAACAAGCTGCAGGGCCACAGTGCACCTGTGCTGGACGTCAGCTTCAACTGCGACGAGAGCCTGCTGGCTTCCAGCGACGCCAGCGGCATGGTCATCGTCTGGAGGCGGGAGCAGAAGTAGCAGCGTTCTGGTCACAGTCCCTCTTCTCACCCACCTCCTGCTCCAGCCTTGTGTTTGTAAATAAAGTTTCTGTGGTTGTGCTGATGGCTGGCTCCCGGGTCTGCTGGGGGCGGGATGGGGGAGAGGGCAGCTCTAGGGCCCACGGTGGAATGGGGTTCACCTACTCATTCCGTCATTCGTTCATGCATTGGTTTATTTATTCATTCACCAACCATTTATTGAATGTCTGCCATGTCATAGGCACCACTTGAAGTGTTTTACAGTCATGCATTGGACAGACATTATTGATCACCTACTGTGTGCCAGGAACTGCTCTATGTACTAGGGGTATAGCTGTGACCTAAACTGACAGAAATCCCTCCCCTCATGGGGCTTGCATTTTAGTGGGGGCAAGTAGATAATAGAATTATATAACAGGTCAGCTAAGGATGACTGTTGTGAGGACGGGAGATGGAGTTGCAGGAGTGGGGGGTTGGGCTCTTTTTGGTGCTGTGATCAGAGATGTTCCTGATGGTGAAATTTACACAGACCTGAGAGAGGGAGCCATAGTGTGTGGTGGAGAACATTCTAGACGGAGAGAGAGAAGGTAGTGCAAAGGTGCGAAGGCTGGAGTGTGCCAGGATTGTTGTAGACGCCAGCGTGGCTGGACCAGAGTGTGGTAGATGAGGTTGTACAGGCCTGAACCTGGAGGGCTTCATGGGTCATGGTGAGGCCTTGGGCTTTTTTTCTAAGTGAGGGGTGTTTTGAGCAGAGGAGGGCAGTGATCCGACATGACTGTAAGGAGATGCCTCTGGGCACTGTGAAGGGAACACATGGGGCGGGCAAGGGCTGAAGCAGGAGACCAGTCAGGAGACCGTGCAGTAGTTGAGGTGAGTGATGATGGGGACTCATGCCAGGGTGGTGGCAGTGGAGGAGTTGAGGTGGGGAATGTTGAGGTCTACCACAGGAGTTTCATCCTATTAGCCTGCAGGGCCCTGCTGGATTCTCCGGGAGGCTGAGGCTCTCAGGCTCCCCCCACTCCCAGGGCAGCCACTACCTGGGCCCCACACCTGTCTGTGCATTAGGTTGTCTCCCACAAGCAGGGAGCAGAGGTGTTGAAGACTTGGAGTGCCAAGCTGGTGTGGGAACAACCATGGACCCTAAGGCTGAGCTAGCCGCTCCTGCTGGGGGCGAGGGGGATAGGGCTTCTCCCACCATCTGCAGAGGAACCCCAGACCACCCCTAGCTCCTTTTACACCCCCCCCAGGGCCCAAATTCAAGGCCTGGAACAGCTCAGAGACCACAAAGTGATGTCCGATATTTTTTTTTGGCAGTTTTAATTTAGGTTTGTTTTATTTAAGTTTATTCTGTATTTATTTATTTTTGTGTGTGTGTGAGGAAGATCAGCCCTGAGCTAACATCCATGCTAATCCTCCTCTTTTTGCTGAGGAAGACTGGCTCTGAGCTAACATCTATTGCCAATCCTCCTCCATTTATATTTCCCCCAAAGCCCCAGTAGATAGTTGTATGTCATAGTTGCACATCCTTCCAGTTGCTGTATGTGGGACGCAGCCTCAGCATGGCCGGAGAAGCCGTGCGTCAGTGCACGCCCGGGATCCGAATCCCAGGCCGCCAGTAGCGGAGCGCGCGCACTTAACGGCTAAGCCACGTGGCTGGCCCTTATTTAAGTTTAATGTTAATTCCATGCTGTGTTTCAGTAAGAACAATAGATTTCTGTATCTGTGGCTTCAGTCAGATATCCAGTAGTACAAATTAGCTGCAAGTTACACATACTGAACAAAAGAGGTTGAGCAAGCAAAGGAGGGGAGGGCGACCCAGGGGGAGAGAGAGGGAGAAGAAACAAAGAATTGAACACACATACAGGCTTTTCCATACCACCTTCAATGCTAACCTGCTTCAGAGAGAGAGTAAAAGTAGGCAAGAATGAGCAGCCATGGATTGTTGAACTGATGTCCAATATTTGAGGGAGCCTGGAGTGAGGAGAGAAAGCTTATGGTAGGACGGGCAGAGATAACAAAAATCCCTTGTCAATGACCTGAGTCACCAGGAAATGTCAGAGGCTCTTGTTCCCTTCCCTTCAGCTCCATAGGCTGCCACGTCCAGATGCATCAATGGGAAGCATGACTGCCATCTTGAGACCTCAGGGGCAGTCCACAGAGTCACAGAGACTCCAACCTGGCCCAACATCGTTGAGCTGCTGAACTAACACCAGCAGTCTTGTTGGGGGAGGAAAATAACCTCCTGTTTGTTCAATCCACTGTTATTTGTGGTTGCTTGCATCTGGAAGCATTTCTACCTGGTACTTCCATCTGACAGACCTTCAGGTAAATGGTGAGGAGATAGGGCCATCGGTGAGCTAGACTGTTCGTGGTCAAGATCATGTATGTATGTGTTGGAGGTCCCCAAGACCAGCCAGACTCAATGGTTTGCTAGGAGGACTCTCAGTCTCAGCATCTACTTGTACTCACGGCTATGATTTCTTCCAGCAAAAGTATGCAGAGCACAATCAGCGAAGGGAAAAGACACACAGGGCGGAGTCCAGGGAGACCAGGCGCGAGCTCCCAAGGGTCCTCTCCTGGTGGAGTCACACAGGACACGCTCAATTCCCCCAGTAGCCAGTTGCAACAACACGAGTGAAATGTTGCCAACCAGGGAAGCTTGTTAGAGACTCAGGTCCCAGGGTATTTACTGGGGGGGGGGGTCACATAGGCACAGCCAAGGGCCGACCTTGAAGCAGGCCTTTCCAAGGAGAGCAGTTCAGGCTCTGTTAACCCCATTCTGCACAGTATGCAACACCAAAAAGAAGCTCAGTTTCAACTAAGGTCGGTGGGTGGGCAAGATCATTTGGGGGAATCTCATTTTTCTCCAACACTTTCCTCTTTTTTTTTTTTTGTGAGGAAGATCAACCCTGAGCTAACATCTGTGCTAATCCTCCTCTTTTTGCTGAGGAAGACCGGCTCTGAGCTAACATCTATTGCCAATCCTCCTCCTTTTTTTTTTTCCCAAAGCCC